TGAGTGCTTCCAGGGAAGGGGCATCCACAGCTTCGCTCAGCAACCTGTTCCAGTGTCTCACCACCTTCTCAATAAAGAATTTCTTCCTAATTTCTAGTCTAAATCTACCCTCAGCCAGTTTAAAACCATTTCCCCTTGCCCTGCCACTACCTGCCCTTACAAAAAAGCTCACAAAAGCTGAGTATAACCAAGGGTATGGTTGGCCTTCTGGGCTGCAAACGCACATTGCCAGCTCGTGTTGAATCTTTCACATCTTAAATCCCCACCAGAATCAGGTGGGTTTTATGAGATGGAACAAAAATTGGTTCTGGGCATAGATTAAATGAAATGGGGAAGGGAGACATTTCCTGACTAGGAGATCATCTTCTGTGAGGCTCTGCTTTCAAGGGACAAGAGTATTTTAGCAGAATACCATAGTGAGGAAAGTTAAGGTGGCAAGACCATTTCCTCCCAACACTCTATAGAATACCCAAGAAAATTCAGTATTACACATAGTTCCAGACAATGGTACACTTCTCATCTTCTGATTAGTGCTGTGAGGATGAAATATCAAAGAGAGAGAGACCTGCTTCATCTTTTGCCTCACAAGCTCTGTTCCGTGGGAAAAACAAGATGCACAAGGCATTACAACACTACAGCTCAATCACTGTCCTCCCACTGTCCTCAGTGAAGAACGTGACCTCTGGATCTGGGCGGACATGGCAAACCCACATTCCATGAGCGTATTTAAATATTTACACAAATCAGCCTTATGTTTTTCCCTTCTTTTTTGAAATCTTTCTCCACAAGTTCACTTGTTGGGCTGTTCCCAAAACCAGTATATTTTTAAATAGTCATTGGAGAATATTAGTGGAAAATTAATTTTGAGTTCTCAAACAAATATTTATATTAAAGTCTACTATAATAACGATCCTGAATTCTAGCCAGGAAATAATGCACTGTTGATCCAAGCACTCCTCATGAAGATGATTATTTACTATGAAGATGATTATTTACCCTGCTGGACCTAGCATTCTCCTCTGAATGCAGCAGGCACAGAGTGTGTAATTTACCTATTTCCTTGAGCAGCTGAAATTGGTGAACGTACAATTGACCACATTACAAATTGCAAAAAAAGGAAAACTTAGTAGCAGGAGCTCCATCCTAGCATATACAAGTTAGTTACAGTTATTGTTATTTTTTTTTTCTAGAAGTATTCAGATTTAAGTCAGTTCAGATGCCTCCATTTTAGATAAGCTCCTATGCTGAGCCAACCCATTGTGTACACAAAAAAGATGAAGAAACCCAGAGTCTTTATCCATTTACAGTTTTCTAACCACCCAAAGCAAATATCTCTCAGGATAAATGCTTGAGAACAGAATAGAAACTGAAAAAGAATGGATTCAGTTTCTCAGTACAACTATCTTCTCCTTACTGCATAGGCTGACTCTACGATGACATGCAACTTAATTCAAAAGTGTTCATTTTCTTTTTACTTAGAGCTGGGCACTTATAGAATTCATCATGCAATCATAATATCCTGAGATAATGATTACAAATATCAACTGAAAATCACATGCATTAGGTACAGAAGAGAGAATTAGATCTATTAATAGGAAAAAGGAGTAATCTAAAGAAAATAATAGTTGGTTCTGATGTAGCTGCTACTCTGTTAAATGTGCTAGTCCTGTAAAGAGTAGATTGCATGGTACCACCTTGCAACATTCAGTGCCCACTGAAGTTGTCAGGTACTCTTACAATGACTTCACTAGCCTTTTCCAAGCCACTGATATTCCATGATAAAACACTGTAATGCAATAGTTGTTATTCTTTAGGAAGAGATGAATTGTTATCTGCCCTTTTACCGGTCATGATCAAGACCAAACTACAACTTGTTGAAAAGGTCAAGCCAGATAAATGTCATCCTGTGTGGTCACTGAGAGTTTTGCTGTTAACCTTCAACATCAGTAGAACTTGTTCCAACCCAAGCAATTATTCAGTATTTATACTACAGATACACCTTCAAGAATTACTGGCTTGTTGCTGCATAAAGCAAGGAGGTTATAGTGGTGTATACTATACTAATATAGTGGAAGTCTGCTAATGTCCAGTACTCTGAAAGTGAAAAAGGACACTAACACTTAGCAGTCTGTTAGAAAATTCAAGGCAGTTGCAGGAAGATACTGCTGATAAATGAAGGTCCCATATAGGTACACTCCATTTATCAACATAACCAGTACAGTTTGGATACAAGATTTTCTTCTCTCATTATCACAAGCTCTAACACACTGTCACACATCACTGCTCTACACAGTTTTTCTGAAGCTGTCTTTCCCACTGCACATCCCTATGTACCAGTGAGTAAGGCTGCTAGAACAAGGCCGCATCAATTCAGTGGAGGATGGGACTGCACATGTATTTTGTGTTTTATTGTAAATACCTCCAGCAGAGGTTTTTAACAAGACTAAGAGAAGCTGTTGCTGGGGTGACTAAATATGACTAAGTATATGGTATCACTGCCCAAAGATCAAACAACACACATTCATTAACAACTACCAAACCTACCTCTACTATAAAAGGAGTCTTCAGATATTTAGTTTCCTTAAATGCGACAGTGAGAGCAACCCCATATACATCTTCAAAGAGGGAGAGTACTATTGTCATAGACATTGACTTTAGTTTCTCCAGTTTTGATTCAGCCTAGAGATGGACCCAAAATTCACTCTCTACAGACAAGTTTACCCACAGCAGTTTCTCCATTATGTGAATCAAAACTGTAACAAGATCTGAGCATCATTGTTAGTTGTCAGGGCTAGTTCTCAGCCTTTTTTCCTGGATTTGCAATCAAGAGCAAGGTGACCAGGCCAGTTCAATTTCTCAAACAGTTTTCATAGTATGACTCTGTATTTTACACTAAAATGAAAGGCAGTTTTGTTTCTTCCTCTCTACTTCCGGTTTCCAACAAGAGGGAAAGTTATCTTGACAGGGAGATGACCATCTGAAGAAGTGGCTGATAAGAACAGCCACAGTACAAATTTAAGACATGCACATTTTGGAGACTTCTGCAATACACAGTATATTACATTTTTGTAAGTAGGTTTTACAGCACACCTGGTGTCCAGAAGAATAAGTCACTTTTGCTCAAATTCTAACTACACACAGCTAATAAAATGCAGACAGACAGACTTTTTCTACTTCTTTGATTTAGAATTCAGTCTCAGGTTGAAAGTTCTAATTCTACTTCATTGCAAGTATGTGGATTTGGGAAAAAAAAAAAAAAAGGGACTGTGTTCTATCTTCTCTGCTGCTGCTCTCTTTTATGTAGGTGACAAGTTTTTTTAGTTATAATTTCACTACAAAAATAATTGACGTTATCTAATAAGATGCAGTAAGCATTTGCCTGTTTATACCACGTATAAAACTACACTACAACTAAGCAGAATTGTAAATTTGAATTAATAACGCAAGCCAGTCAAAATTCTCCTCGAGGAGAAAATTTGCCCCTAAAAAAGCCGCAGAATAAGTAAATCTCAGCTGAATTTGGCAGCAGGACGATCTTATTTGTAAAGAAATTCATAGTAAATGAGCTCAGTTCATAATGTGCTTTAACAGTAAAGAGAAAAACATGCTTTCCATGCTGCCTGAATGGTTGGCATAATTTTGCTTGCCTTCCTTTCCTGTTAACTTCAGGATGAAAATGGCTTTGCTGTCAGAGTACATTTGTTCCCACTAATTCAACAGTATAACAAGCTAAAATATTTATTTCTTTTTTCCATCCTTTAATTTGTGTTTTATCATATTGGGAACATCATCTACTGATTTCATTTACTGTAGCATTATGCAAACAACTCTTATGGGAAAGTCAGCTCACTGTAATATGAAAACTAAGCAGAAAGAGGACTCAGTGTTTTAGGATATATTGCCTCAGAGGGCCCCACGTTTCTGGGCAGACCAACACAAAGGCCAGAATGCACATCTAAAATCACTGCTCAAATATCTCATCCCAATAAAACCCTCAACTTTTCAAAGAAGACACTTACATTCTTATTGCTTCTCATGGAGAAGATGAACTACCAGAACATTTTTTGATTAGAGCTAAATGATCAAACAGAGCAAACAGTGTTATATTTTTTTTTAGCTCAATCACTCCCCTGTTCATGAAAGTCTACAAAATGATGTTGTCTTATATTCGGGTGAGTCTATAATTAAAGATGATCAAAATGTTTTCCTCTGAAAAATGTTGCTGATGGTAACAGGATTTTAATTGCATGATTGCTGGTATGCAATGTGCTTCTGCCTCCTATAGGAAATAAAATCAGTTCTCAACTAAATACAAATGTTTTTACTGAAAATTCAGCTGGTTTTCTTCTTTTTTTAAAAGCAAACAACAAGAAAACATTTTCTGGATAGAATCTTTTGCACAATTTGTGGAGTAGGAATTGGCTTCTGCTTGCCCCTTTGTTAGGGGCCAAAAACACAACTTGCCCCCTTGAACAGTGCAGCATGCGTTTGCCCATTCACATCCTCTCTCCATCAACTCTCAGATGAGCTCTGTGCAAGTGGCTTCTAACTTTAGTACCTCAGTTATCAGCCTAAAGTTAGGTGGAATTAATCAGACCACAAAAATTATGTTTATGGACAAAGTCTTTGTAATTATTTACTTTTGTATACCTTATTCATGTAGCAACTACTTATAATGTTTAATCTTCTCTCTTCTGTTCTTTTCTCACATACCAAACACTGTCTTGTCCTTGCCTCATTTGCATCTGTGATGATTTCTAATATTTGATTTAAGTAGTGTGAACTCAGGAGCAAATCTTTACTTAAATACATGGTTTGAATATACAAAGGACACAATGACACAATCCCATGAAGCCCTTAGAGTTTTTCAAAAATGTGCAAAAGGTCAGAGGAAAAAAAAAAACAAGACTGATGCTGTCTGACATCTGTCATTACAGTAAATATCAATATCTATTTAATTGGCTCTATATTCTCCATGAAGAAATATAGCTTACACTTACCATTCTCACCAGATGTCTTATCTTTTCCATTTGTAGCTCCGGTTCCTTGTCTCTGGTAGAAGAGGGAAAGAAAAAGCAGTTAGAACAAACTTGGATTGTCACCTTGGAACTGCTAGCAGTTACAGATAGATTTCCCTTCAATCTCTTGGATAGTCACTCACCCTCTTACGATGCTGTTTAGAAAAAACAGCAGTCAAAATAGTAACACTTGGTACCATCTAGGCACAGCTATGTAAATATGTGTGTAATTGTACACTGTTATCACCTGCTAGTGATGGGCTATGTGTAGTCAGGTTAAAACAGTGCAAAGGTATGAGCCACAGTAGAACATTCCCTCGGGTCTCTGCCATGCCTCCATTTGTGGGATTCTTTTGACATTGGTCAGACTTCCCATTTTGTCCTCAAACACAGATGGAACTTCCCTCTTCAACTCAGACTAAAGAACACCTTCATGACATTCCATGCGAAATACTGTGAATAAACACTAAGTGACTTATAGCAAATGCCAGTGCAGCCCAAGCAGATATTCACCATGGCAAAGCTGTATTAGCGTGGTTGCACTTATATAATTTACTAGCTTAGGAATGGCTACTCAAGAAAAAAAACAAACAACTCTATACTGCATCCTTCAGAGGGAGCATCTCACAGGTAGAATTAAGGTGCTTAATACACTTGTTTGGTAAAATTTGCATTCCTTACGCAAAATTATTTATACTTATAAATATTACTGAAACAGATTAAAAAAATCCATCCTCTAGGGCTGTCCATGTGAAAAACCAGGAATATGAAGTTTACAGTGAATAAATCTAGTTGCATTCAGGGGTAACATATCTTCACGCATCAGGAAAGTTAACAACTGCAGCAGCATTGCAAACCACTTGGTTTGCACTAAAAAATGGACAATCATACTCATCCTGTTATGAAAAATCATACAGGCATACTTATCCTCAGGTATTTACTGCAGAGCAGTATTAAAATTAAAATCAGGACTGCTGATTAAAAACTCCTCTAGTGTCTGTCTTTCATTTCCCACTGTGTTTGTCTTCTCAGAGTATTCATGATGTAAGTACAAAACCTTCATGTTTACTCTTAACTCTCATTATATAAAGCCAGAGGGAGAAAGAAGTTCTTCAAACCCCTCAGGAGGACAGCAAAAAGCTACATATGGTCTATCGTGCATCCACATGCCCATGGTGAGGTTTCTCATCTTCCTCCCTGTGGCAGACTTCAGTGCATGGCTCTGTTCCACTGCCTTTGCCTCATCTCACACTGTGCAATGAGACAGAATCCCTACAGAAAACAACTTTGAGTCCATAGCTACCATCCCATGCAATGGAAATATATTTTTGTTTCTCCCTGGAGCTTCACAGTCTACAACAGGAAAGAAAACTTTAGGCTAATAATGCAAAAAAAAAAAGAAAAAAAAAGATCCTAAAGGGCATTTTATTTTATTTTTTTTTGAATGTGAAAGTATAACTTCACAATAGCCATAAGTCACTAAATCCACCCAGAAGCCAGTTTTGCTGAAGACATTAACATTTATGCCTTTAAATTAAGCTTTGTTAATACATCAATATTTCAATTTCAATCCCTATTTGAAACAAGATTTCAGTGTAAATTTATCGGGACCTCCCAAAAAATAAAATACCAATTTCTAGAAGGTAAAAATCCAGTAACTATATTACTTTTTCTAAAAATTTACTTTTAAATGCCTTTTTTTTTTAGATGTTCTTTCTGAGTATTTCAGACTGCTGCCTAGCTGTTATGAAGAGTTCTCTTTCCTCCCCAGGCTATACCTGTCAGGTTTGGTCTGCTGCTGATGCAGTGCTGGAATAGGGAAGCACGCATTTCATGTCTCAGGATTTCCCCTTTGGGAGAGGGGAAAGTTCTGATAAAGAAAATGAATGAAATCTCAGCTTCAGTTACTGAAGATATTTTCTGTTCATGAGGTCAAAATTGTTTTCTAAGTTAAAATCAGACTAAATACATAAAGCTTGTTTGGGGACCATTAGACATAGAATAAAGCTTCAAAGTCTCTTAAACAAGCTTCTGTTAGTACTTCCTTCTGTGCTGCATACGTAATTTCATCTACAAGCACTGTGCTGTATTCCAAAAAAGACCAATGGATTTGAGAAAGAGAATCAGTTTCTTGTTAACAAGGCATTGCAACTGTGTTGGAAAAAGCCATATACAACATATTCATCCACTTGCAAACCCCTCAGTATTTTACTTCAATACATTCACTGGCCCTATTAAAAACAGACAAACAAACAAACAGAAAAAAACCAACACATTTTCAAGATGCTGATACTATTAGCATTAGCCTCTTGCTTCCTTCTTCACCTTTCATGATGCTACCACAGGTAGCAAACAAGGCTTAGGTTTCCAATATCATTCCAAACAAAGGACTGAACATGAGGAGGAGTATCTTCAAGAAGCAATGGATTAAAGCCCTTCAAAAGCTGGTGTAATAGATACTGTCCTCAAAGCCAACAAATGAAATCAATAACATCGAAATAGGAAAAAAAATAGTACTAATTTCTGAGCTTTGTTTTTAAACAAGCAATCCCCAAGTTGCTGACCATCTTTTAAAAGCTAAAAGTAGTCTAATCCTTTTGCTTCCTGTAACTCATAGCCATCTTCCATCACTCAAAGCTTCTGAAGTTCCCCAGATTCTGTAAGGCAAGGACTAGGATAGAAGCACTGAACAAACTGTCCATTGGGTATTGAAGAGGAAACATCTGAGCCAAAATGAACATGAGTCTAAAGCCATAACGATCATCCAGTAAAACAGGATAAACAGTTTTGTTGCTACGTTGCGTAGGAGGAAACATAGTTTATGACTGCTTGGGGCTATATTAATTTTTAACTCAGTGGTTTTGCTGAACATCAAAGGCACATCATTAAAAATGTCTCCAAAAATCAAAGTCACTCCCAGTTTGTCAGAAGATGAAGGAAAAAGGGCTACTGCCAGGAACCACAGTAGGAGAAGAATAGGTTTACTTTCCTGTTAAATTCTTAGTGCCATACAGTGCAGCTCGCTAATGTAGTGTAAAATCTACAGAATTAGTCCCCAGGTGTACAAACTAAGGGCAAAAAGTGAGCTTTCAGCCAGAAGGATTTCTCAATAAGAACATTAAATTACTGCAGTGAGGTTTTCTATTCATTCTCCTAACCTATCCTGCAATCCCAAACATTGTTGCATTCTCTCTTGTATTCAGATTTCTGGACCCTTTCAACAACACTTGCACCTCAGCATTAGGGACTGTATCCAGGCATTGGTTATGAAGTTTCTTGAGGCAGAGGAATGACTTTTGAGGAGCTATGGAAAGCCCAATATCAGGAGATGAGACTGTCAGGAAGCTCTGACAAATAGGTCAAATGGTTTTATCCTTCATTTGATTGCAGGGCCCACATGATATAGCATGCTGCATCCCAGTGAAGCAGGGGTTGCAGTTGTTTAAAAGTATATTGTTTCTACATAAAGGAAAAAGGGGAAAAAAAAAAAAAAAAAAAAAGGAAAAAGGGAAAAAAAACTCAAGAATAAAAGAAAAAAATAGAAACAATGGAAAGTTTCTGTAAAATTATTATCAGAAATGGCGGGTGTGGCCTTGAATCAGGTTTTTTTTTTGTTGGTTTTTTTTTTTTTTTAAACACAATTATTTCATTGACACATTTTGTATATTACTAATATGCTCTGTTCTCATCGACTGGATAACAGCAGGGAAATCTGCACAAATCCTGGGTGTTTCTTAACCCTCATTTTGCTACCAGGTCTGCTCTAATAGAAAAGGCACAGGTGTGACAGAAGGAAATACACGTTGGTACAATGCAACATAAAACACATCTGGTCAGCCAGCTGTATGCCAAGAGAGACTTTAATTTGTGCTGCTATCATTGGTATCTGTTCTCTATACAGAATTTTCTGTTAAGTGTATAAGATGTATCCAAATATTTTATCGGTGTTTTTTTCACAGCTTTCTGCTTTAATTAACAAAAACAGCTGCTTAAGCACTAGAATGAGAACAGTAGTGAAAAATATATTTTAGTAACTTACAAGTTTATAACTTTTCTTCAAATAAAAACAATGTAAGTATTCACTTAAGGACTTCCCAAGTTTTCCAGGTACAGCTTGTAGTTTTCCTACTTCGCAGCAGAACAACCTGGAAATGCACTGAGCTGATGCCCACTGATTACAGGACTAGGTATCTCCTATTGAGTACTTCAGATCTGTGCAGTCAGTGTGGACTTCATCCAGGAACAAAAAAAGAAACAAAGTTCTAGGCTGATTTTTATTTAGTGTCGGTTGATCTCTAGAGATACCAGAGAAGTTTGGACTAATGAAATAAGCCACAAGTGAACTCACTTTGCTTATAGGTGCAGGAAGATCCCAAAGCACACTTACATCGCCATTACTGCATAGTTACTTCATAGTGCTTTTTCTCTTTTTTCCCTAGGTGGGATTTTGAGGACATTACAATTGCATGCCCACTCCTACACACTAAAGGTGATAAATTAGATATAAATAAAGACAGAAAGCACACAAAGCTACATCCTTCAATTAGCCTCACCTTCCATATACTTCTAGTCCAAGTGCACTACATGCAATTCCTGATTATGAGAAAATGATGTTTTCCATGCTCTTTTATACTGGGTATGAATTTGCTATTGAAAACAAAGATCAAATATTCAATTAAAAAAAAAACAAAAAAAAACAGGTATTGGGCACTGAGGAAACCATTTGCTGTTGCTGGTTAATCACTATATTACACATGCATGGCACAGGAAAACAGTTCTTTGATGAAGTGACATCTGGAACTAACTGAAATCAATGGGCATTGTGCAACTGCTCCTCTTTCAAGCTCTAGCAAAAATTTAATATAGGTCAGAAACTAGATGAAGAGCCAAAATTTAAGTAGGGGCAAAAAGCAAATGGCTATGACCTGGAATAAGTGGATATACTCTGTCAAATTTGGAATTTCAGTGTAAGTTGGTGAAATTCTTCTTTGCTGGAGATTCCTGGGAATTGTATATCAAAATGCATGAAGATGA